TTTTTATAAAATTTTAATTTTAATTTAATGTATTTTATGTTTCAAAGAAGAAAAAATTCTGAAGTATCAAAAATTTTCTTTTTGATTTACATAAATTGAAAAAGAATTTAATTCAATAATTCAAAAATAACAAAGTACAAAAATGAACAAAGTACAATAGTAAATAGTATTAACCCTGCAATAATCCCAATTGTGGTGTGGTTAAAAATTTAAATTTAATGTATTTTCAGTTTCCAAGAAAAAAAAATTCTGAAGTATCAAAAATTTTCTTTTTGATTTACATAAATTGAAAAGAACTTAATTCAATAATTCAAAAATAACAAAGTACAAAAATGAACAAAGTACAATAGTAAATAGTATTGCTCGAAATGATGATTATACATAAATAATTGCATTGATATTCACAACGGAAGGTGCAAAAGATGATAGATTTCAATGAACTTCTTATATTTCTCCTGGCAGGATCGCCAATTGTGGTGTAGTTAAAAGAATTTTATTTTTACAAAATTTTAATTGAAATTTAATGTATTTTAAGTTTCAAAGAAGAAAAAATTCTGAAGTATCAAACATTTTCTTTTTGATTTACATAAATTGAAAAAGAACTTAATTCAATAATTCAAAAATAACAAAGTACAAAAATGAACAAAGTATAATAGTAAATAGTATTAACCCTGCAGTATGGATATGTAGACATAGGAAAATTTGCATAAATAAATTTGCATAAATAGCGATTGGTTCACATACAACTTTGCCGTTGGGTTGGCGTTGAATTTCAAAGCAGCCGTCCACATAGCCAAACTTTGGCAACGCTAAGGCCAACACAAAGACGAAAGATCGCTGCGTCGGTCGCCAGCTGTTGCAAATAAATACATTTATATGAAATGTTTTTTTCCTTTTAATCAAATGAGGGCAAGAGATATAATTTTTCATGCAATTATTGATATGAAAGATTAATTTATCTCTCGTTAATATGTTAATTTAGTGGGCAAAGTAGTCTCTGCCAAGCTTCATTGTAGAACGCATACTTTTATCGTGTGTTCTATCAAACCAACGCAAACTAGAAAGTCAACGCGAAAGTTCTATGTAGACCAGCCTTAATTATCAAATACTGTTTAACACCCCAAATAGTAGTTTGTATTATACTACAAACATACATATGTATGGGGACTAAACCAGGAATATTCATTTGAAAATGGTAATGTCCTACTCATTTATGAAATGAAATACAAAATAATGATTTTTATAAATATTATATTCTCATTTATACATATGTAACATAGTTACTTAGCCCAATTACTTAGTAATTACTTGTAGATAAGAATACAAAGACAAATTATTTATCAGAAGCATTGCCCCTTACTCATTGAAAAAAATAAATAAAAGCTCTAAAAAAAGCAAAATCGCTACAGCGAAAAAAGGGTTTGAAAAACCGCGTAAATTCAAATCCGCATAAATAGAGACCTAACTGTACAAGTTGAAATTTTATAAGAAATTATTGAACATTAAAAAAATTGTACCTATATGGATATGTATGCAAATATATGCCTAACTAGTATATAAAGCTGGTCAAAATCTTCTTCTTCTGTGCATGAGAATATATACATAAATAAATCCATACATATATGTATATCTGTATGTATATACATATCTGCATGTGTACATACAATCCTTTACTTGAAATTCTTAGTTGATGCAATTTTTATCCATTACATTTTTGCTGACCAAACAACCCGTATGCCTGTCTAATCTGCTTGCCTCATTTGCCTCGCTCCTTCACTCCCGCGCTCGTCTGCTGCTGCAAATGAGTGCCTCGCTCGCAACGACGCCTTCGCGAGGGCAGAGCTAATGAGGTCCTCGTTTGCTGACCGCTCTACTCTTGCGCTGCCCTCGTTTGCTTACTCGCTCGCTGGCTGCTCAGCGCGTGCGCTCGTACTTAGCAGGTGCTCGTTTGCAAACAGCGTCGCCTGTTGCTCGTGAGTTGCGCAAGCTCAGAGCAAACTAACGAGCGAGCAAGGGGCTAAACTGAGCAAATCCGAACTCTGGGCTCAGATGGGCTACCTGGCAACACTGATGTTGTACTATTTACTGGCTTAGCCCGGTCTCCAACCCATATTGAAGGAATTTTTTTTTCGCTGTGCCAGAGCAAGTGGTGAAACTCACCACAAAACCACGAAAGGCACCTTTTACGAGATTACAAATTCCATGGTGTGTTCGGGGAAACAGCGATCGGTCAATTTGTACTACGTTTAAAGGTCTGTTCGATGCAAAAGCAAATGGCATCAAATGTAATTAAATAGAATCTCACACCGATGGTCGCCTTCTACAGATCTCCTTTACCCCAAACACGAAACCTTATGCTGAAATTCATAGAAAAAAAGCATTTTTAAACAAAATTTAAGAAGGAATTATCGAAATGGGTATATAGAATTTTAAATCAAAGAAAAGTTTCAAAAAAGCCCATTTTTAAAAAGTCGGTGTCAGGGGGCATAGATCTCCAAAAAGTGTAAATTTGATACTTTAGTAGCACAACGGGAACACTGGTTTACAGAAAACAGTTGCGTTTTCGTATTCTCCAGCAAAAAATATCCAGCAACTTGCCAGTAACCAAATTTCGGAAAGTAAGC